ATTATCTTCTGTTCCCGCGCCTATTCTTTTGGCCAACACTGAATCGATTGTTCCTTCTTCCCAATGTGGTACATCATTTAGATGATGAAGAACAGCGCGTGGATGATTTCTGACATGTGGTACGCGTAACCTTTAATAAAGAAAATCATTTTGATGAGTGGACGATTTGGAAAGATTCTATAAAAAAAAGAGCTTACCCGGGTACCCAATTATATGTCGACAGCTTGAACAAGAACATCTTTGAATTCTTTAAAAAGATGAGTGATATGATAAGCAGCAAAATTTATAGGGAGAATGTTTCGAAGGAAGAAAAACTTTTTATGATTCATCCTATTACTCAATTGCCGGTATTGTGAGAGAAATCAATGAGTTAGTAAGCGCTGGCGAGGATGTGGATGTGGAGTGTGGTTATGGGTGATTTAACGTCAACATAAGTCACTCTGTGACGCCACCTCTGTTTACTATTTGTTATTGGTTTTCTTTTCTCCTATTTAATGTATCTTGTGGGTACCGTTTAAGACAAATGCACGAGTTAAGGGAGAACATGGACGCCATGATGAAGGCATGAATGGAGAGATAGGATTGGGTAAAGATTTTTCAAGTAGAAATCATTACAATTAGTGATGATTCACACTAAAAACGTCGGAGCTTTTTGGATAGCATGAAAATAATAATGAAATATTAGTGAAAATGAGTCAAGAAAAAATAGGAAGAAAAAAAGATACAACTATAGAAGAACGACGCCCTCCTTTGTTTATCATATACAGAACACGAAAAAAAATCTATTGGCGCATCTGTACAACCACTATCTGAGCAAAACAATAGAGAGTCAAATATAGGTGTCATATAAGCACAGTTCATTGATGTTGACACTCATAAGAGAGGTAATATATCAAAGATGCTTGAATCTATTAATTAAGAGAGGATGTTTGAACAATTTCATATAATTCTATGATAAAGAGAAATAAGAAGAAATAAAGAAAGGGGTGGGTGTGCGTGTGGGTGTCGTGTGAGGGTGTGGATGTGGGTGTCCACGATCTGCTTTCATCGATAACCACACGCACACTCAGACCCCCACACCCACACCCACCCAAATCAAACTCTTGCTTATTTATTTATTTATTTATAAATTTGATCAATCACCTCAATTAAATAGTTCAATTAATCTTATCGATGGATGGACACTTTTTTGTCCTTCAAGTTAGTTTTTGAATAATAGGCATGTTCCATGAAAAAACTATCTTAAGAAGGGCTGAATGTATCGAGTTGTCTTCTGGTTTTTAAGGATTTCTCGACGTGCACTTTCTTTTGTCTAGCGGATAGTTTTGTCCAAAATGCTCGGAAGTAATTTTTCTAGAAAACCGTGGTTTTGGAACCAATGGTTGCGAAAGTCCTTTTGTTTTAACAGTCCATAATAATAGAGTAACGAATTCGCTACAAAATGAGATGTTTCCGAGCTTTCTACGACTTTTTTTAGCCAAGTTACATCAATTTTAGTAAAGGGCAAAAGCCGTTTTTTTCCAGAGGAAATAGCAGAAAAAATGGTTTTTGCCTTTCACTAAAATTGATGTAACTCGACCAAAAAAAGTTGTAGAAAACTCGGAGACATTTCATTTTGTAGCGAATTCGTTACTCTATCATTGCAGGCTGTTAAAACAAAAGACTTCCACAACCATTGGTTCCAAAACCACAGTTTTCTAGAAAACCTACTTCCAGGAATTTTAGACAAAAGTGTCTTGTAAACAAAAGAAAGAGCACGTCGAGAAATCCTTAAAAGTCAGAGGACAATTCGATACGATCAGCCCTTCTTAAGATAGTTTTTTCATGAAAAACGTCTATTAAGTTTTTTAATTTTCTAATTGTAGATTTACATAATGAAAGTCTTTATAAATATTTTATTAATAATGAACAAACATCTGGACATCAATCATTAATATTTGGTTTACGAGAATTAAATTCAACAGAAATTTTTCAATTTTGTTTGGAAAATTCTTCAATTATTAATCCACCTATAACAAATCAACCATTTTA